GTTACGGGTACCGGACTGTTGTACCCATGTTGGCGGGTTCATACCCGCTCGAAGCCGTGGATTTTTAAGGCGAAAAAATCCTTCGTACGCCTTCCTTCAGAGCGGAGGAAAGGAAGTAAAGCCGGCTGGCCCATGCTAGTAAATTTACTTGCATGTAAAAGAGCTTCAAGCCTAAAAGACGCCTCTGAGCTAAATTGAAATCGCCTGTTTCTCGCCCAAGAAATACCTCATTTCTCTGTTAGTTGGTGAAAGGAGCGTAGCGAAATGTGCGTGGTCAGACGGCCTCATGACCTGTGCCTAGCCACGTAAAACAAGGCATTAATTCAAATCAATCATCAGCAGCCCAACACATTTTGAGAATTTATTATAAGGTTTAGCAATGGTTAGTTATCGAACAAAATTTAGAAAAGTGGAATGTAAAATGCAAAATAATAATAATAATAATAATAAAAAATTAAATTAAAAAAAGGCTTAGCCCCCTGTAACAACAAATTGTTACCACATGCTCCCCCTGCTGGAACACAAGATAAAGCAATTGAACCTGACGGACCAAGCGATGAGAACCTGGATATTCTTCACGATGCTAGGGACCGCCAATCATTAGGAACGATAGATACAAGAGTGATAGTAATAGGTCTCGGATGTATCGGACCTAAAAATGTTAGAAATATGCAAGTATTTATGACCTAAAAAATATGAAAATATGACCATAAATATGACTTAATATTTTGAGTTAATTTTCGAAATCTTCAAATTATTGCTGTTTACATAACCATTTTATTTTTCACATACTTTTAAAATCTAGCACATTCACAATTCATCCATTCTCCTTCAGCAAGGCAATCCTACCCGCTAAAATTATTAATAGAAGCGATCTTTAGCCTTCTATATAGGTTACTCCTAATTGCGCGCACACATATACCCGCACATATCTTATAATCCACATTTATATGAAAGACAGATACAATTATAAGAAATTAGATGGCAATTACGAGATGTGAAAGATCTCTTTGAGACGAATGCAAGCAACAGAATAAAAAAAATGAAAATTTGATAAAAATGTGAACAAAATACGAAAATTCATGAAAAAATGACCAAAATATGAAATATTAACAGAAAATGACAAAACGTTTAAAAGCCAAGAAATTACTAAATAACGCGTGAAAATTGTATAATTTTCATTGTAAATAAAAACATGCTCAACTTATATCGCATACAAAGAAAATAATTTTACCTGTCTTAAAAATCTAGGCCCTGGTAATACAAGACCCACTAATGCCATTTGTTGCAACAGATGTGAAAAACGGCCTGTACATGCGTGGTTGAAGGCTTCCAAAATATGAATTCTCTCCTTTTCTCATAGTATTAACACTTTTCCTTTTCCAATTAAAAAGTAAAATGATTCAAAATGCGCCATATTTATTTGCACACAATTTTATTGGATGAAAATCACATAAAGGAGTTAGTGAATGAGGGAGGTTACGTGGAGAGCTTCCCATTTTCACAGTAACATCCAGGCATGCACAAACGGCGATTCTATTGATTCAAGAAAGAAACTTGAATAAAAAAACGTAGGCTCTTCCACTCCATATCGGCCTACCACTTTCGAAAAATGTGAAGTTTGTAAATGATATTATTTTTCGTATATTATATTTTGTATTATAAAGTGGGATAATCCCCTTCTTTGCTTATGTTATAAGTCTGTTTGTATAAGTCTGTATATGTTTTAAGTCCAAAGACCCCACGTGTTGCATAGGAGAAATTGCATCAAGCGTGGACTATGGGATTAAACGCACTAAAATCCAAAGAGAAGACGTAAAGGCAGCGGATCAACAAGTTGCAGATTCCGTGTTTGATGTCAGAGCGTCATGCAGCTGCGCGCCATCATGGAACAACAGTCATTACACGTGAGAAGTTTCAAGAAGGCACTGGAAGCCGGGAAATGAACGGCGCAGTCCAGATTCTAATTACACCACTAGAATATTTAACATATTAACTACAATGTGTATAATTATTTTTAACATTTAATTCTTGTATAGACATACAATCAATTTTTTAATTATAAATCAAATTACATTTTTACCAAAACATCAAAGTTGCAACATCGCATTTTATTGGTGCAGAGAAATTCGCAGCGGCAACAACCGATCACGTGAGCTCTCAAGCAATCGTCCTTCCGGCAAACAAATCAGTTGCCAGTAGTGCTGGCAAACGAATGATGTTTCCCTCCGCTTCTTTCCCGCCTTTTCAATCGGAGCCTCCGAGTGAACTCCGGTTAATTTTTGACCGCGAAATTCAAATTTCTCCCAGTATCCTATCTCGTGCATTTCTTTGAATCAGACGATAACATGTTCATAATGAGACAGCCTCGTTAATGAGCACGAATTTATGATTAACACACTCGATGTGGGAGGAAAAATAACCTTCTGAGACGATGTGGCTCTGGTTACCCCTCGAGCGTCGTCACCTGGAATATTGACCCCTGCGCACGTCCATTGCCTTTGGTGCGACAATCATAAAATAACATTTCGTTAGAAGAAGAGAATGTTAATGAACTTTCTTGACATGGCCTGTACCCATACTGTACCATGCAAATTATTAATATTATGATCTTTCAAGTCTCTCGCCACGCGAGGTACTACAGCAGACACCGGGACCTTTGGAGAAACAAAGGTGCCTGCTTCACTTGAAAACTCGGGCGGTCAGGATTCAACGTGATGTTATATCAATAAAAACTTCCTCACGATGGGTGCTGAACTCAGAACAGCCTTTTGCGTTGATTGAATGTGCCACTTTTAAAGGCCAAACCTTGCAGACAATGAAATCAGTTCAGAGATCAGTCCATTTGCAGAGTTGACCACAGGAACTACGTCAACACATGCTAACCGCCACACATCACTCAGTTCAATAGCCAAGGCCTGATATTTTCGCTTTTTCTCGGCAATAGAGCCAACTATATTTCGGTCTAAAGAAATAGCTATGTCGATTATAATCCCTTTCTGTAAAGCTTCATCAATCCATATTATGCCAGGTGTGTTAGCTTCCAACCCTGCGATCAGTGTTGACTGCTACATTCCACAAGAGCTTCCACCGTTTCGACTCCAAAACTGAATACGGCTACTTGTAGTATGGGACCTCTATCTGTATCATTTCCGATTTTGCAGCCAGGGCCTGATGGACAACCACAGCAACGCTGTTGTGCACTCAGATATTCTGTTTGGGCCAAAGCAGAGCACACGCCCATTCTGTTGGAGGGTTTCGCTAGGTTGACTGCAAAGGCAGCAGCCGTCTTCTACATTCATACCCCCAATCACATTCTTTTGATAATTGCGAGTGGATGTTACTTCGTCGTGAATAGAAATGACGAACCCTTCTGTCTCAGCCAAGAGGCCAGATTTTGGTAGCTAGGAGACTGACGATCCCATATTCACGGCGTCCCCTTTGAGCTCAGCAGGATACCTGCCGTGCAAACGCAACTGGGTCCTTACTCAGCATATCTTCTTGGGTGATACATGGTCTTTAGGAGCCCGTTTCATTCAGGTTCAGTAGGGTAAAATTCTAGCCCATGGCACAAATTGCTTCATGAATGACCGTAATTTTCTGAAGGAAGTATTTGCGAAGATTGATTTGCTTCGAGCACAAGGACTCAAAATCCAGAAGATCTACCTCCTTCGTTCCGAGGCAAGTATTATCTTGCCATTGAACTGTTGGGATGGTGCACACGTTGCTTGGTAAGAATGGTCCTAACTTTTCTATTTAACTCCTGCAGAGCAGTTGTCAGTGAAGAACAACAGTTGTATGTACAGTGACAAGTACTGCCAAAGTGTTGAAAGCTGATATGAGGTTTTAAAGATGAGATTTTTGAGACACTTTGCAAGACTATTTTTAATATCACACCTCATCTTTGATTCACTAGTGCTCAAAAGTCTGTGCAGACCTACTTATTTATAGGTATCCTCTTGCCGAAGTTTTTGGGTATTTGTGCCATACATCAGGAGTAGTTTGCCAGGATTAATGATTTTCTCCTGTTCACGTGCACTGCAGTACATTTATCAATGCCAAACTCCATACAAAGAGAGTCGCTAAAGGACTTTACAAGTTCAAGCAACAAGGGAAGCTGGTTCATTTCGTATCCCGTCCCTGAATCTCTTAACATTCTGCTGAGTGGGTTCAGAGCTAGGGAGAACTGTAAGGGACTAAGACAATCTCCCTGAATAATTCCTCTTTTGATCCTTAGTTCCTTGGTGGTAAAGCTGCCCTCAGCACGAGACTTTTATCTTTGTAAGCCAAGTTGACATCCGTTGTTCGGATAAGTTCACATACTGGGCATTTACTTTGTAGACAAAGGAAAATAACTCCATTTGTCTTTCATATTTGCATACGTTGAATTTTCGAATGCTTTGGTAAGAACACAACCCATATTACTCCCTAAGTTAGAAGCTCCATCCAGGCCATTGTAAAACTCTGATGAATCTACATTAAAAATGAGTATTTTTAAGCAAACGATACACATTCGTTTTACAAATTCCGATTTATGCTGTTTTAAGGATCTTTAGGAGGATCTTGAAGATCCTCACATATTCGGCACAGAAATCAAGCAGCGAGGGAAAAAATAGGTTAAAACCTAAGAATTCAGGCTGTAGTAATAAGTTATGTGGCTAATTAGGTGAAGTTCTTTTTTTGGGATCCTCCCTCCCTTCTCGCAGCAATATTTAACTTAGAGCTCCATCCCACACCAATGTGCCCCTCTTTGTAATTGGTGATATTCATAACAGTCTAGTAATTTTATTAGTATACAGAAAGACTATTTGGATAATTAAATTTACATAGCATTCTTATATCCTAGCCAGAAGGTAACAACGCTACAAGCACTATCGGATTATCTGGAGAAGTACAAATTACAATTAACCACTTACCATCAAATTGACTTATTTAAAGACAATGTGTACAAAATGTACACTAGATTGCTAATACTTCAGAAAAATTTCGAGAATACTTACAATAACTCTTGCACAATCTTCTATATCCATTTCTCTCCATCCTCTGCGAAAATGAGAATGAGCCAGGATATCTGACCAACGACCCCATCCAAATGTCAATAAGCCACGTTCCACTTTGAAACATTCTGAACGTGCCCAACTGCCGTAAGCAATTTCTCCATCCTTAGGAACATATTCATCAGCCATAAAGCGAAGGCGGGATTTCTTCCCTGATTTGCCGGCTTTATTGCGGCGACCTATAATAGAAGATTCATAAAAAAATAAAATATTAGAGTACTTGATTATTTCCATGTTGCTAAGAATTGTTAATTAAAAATAACCTCAACAATTGTCAATACCCGTAAAAGCACACCCAATATTTATTGTAAGACAAAGTAATAAATTCACATAGAGAATTTCAATTACCAATAGGAGCATCTTCATCACTGTCTGAGGAGCTATCAAGCTCAGACATGTCAACAACAGACTCATCATGGCCATATCGCTTTATCTGAGTTCTTCTCCTAGGCTCAGAAATCACCAACTCATTCTAAAAATCAGAAATAAAAGATTTTAAAGCACATGTAAATTGGTAAGTTTTGTTATACTCTTAACACGGTTAGCAACAAAAGGCACGAAGGGTTTGTAGTTCACTGGTGTTTCCTGCACAAATTTTACCTTGTCTCCTTCTTCTGTAGTGTCTATATCAGCTCTCTTTGCCCACTTTTTCCAAAAGTCGGGATCATCAATGTCTATATCAGAGCGAATTCCAGCAGAGGCAAAACTCGCTTTCGAAAAAGTAGAACCTTTTTCTGATTCTAGAGTTATCACAGTTGTACGACGTTCAAGGATTTGGTCAATATCCTCCTCACAAAACTTGTCGCCAGCACTATCCTCATCCATAATAGCACCGTATGCACCTAAAAGTAAAACAATGTCACAATTTAGTGAGTAATCAGTTTACAAGGCCATGCAGAGAATATGTTGCTTGTAAGAGGGAGGTCATCAAAAATCAAACTGAAGGGCAAGGTCGAAAAATCAATATTCCCAGAATATTTTTAGTACTACAACAAAATCTGTCCAAGCCGGACCCTGAACAGACGGAAACCTGACTCGATCAGAAAATTTCTCACGCCAGTGAAGCCAATTTACACAGCCTCAAACAATGTCTGTGCAACCTGGAAACGGAACGGTTTCTCGTGTTCTCATAAAGCGGAATTGCCGTGAATGCATTTGGTCGAGGGCCCATGACGAGAACAGAACGCATCTCCATCTCGGCTATAATTTCTCCGCCCCTGTCACGAGGCAGCCGCACCGGCTTGGAGAGTGACTGATATTAAATCTTTCATCAAACAAGCCGTCAGTGCATAATCAGAGCACGCCTTACGCAAACCGGCACTGGAAAGAGCTGGGTCAAACTGTCACCCATACCTCGTAACCTGGAGAGGTCCAAGGGTGTTGTAGCCTTCAGAACTACTACGAGTACTGGCCATGACTAGCTAGCCTCCCACCAGCATTGTATAGGCGCCTTCAAGAGCGACGCCTGTGTACGCAACTACCCAAGAATGGATGCAGTCTACTTCCCTGAATGCCCTGTCCTAACTCACTATTGGCAAACTAAGACCACCTGAGAGAAACTGCACGTCTGTACTGGTCAGCGGGTCACCAAATGGCTACATACCAAGGATGGGCACTGTCTAGTAAGTGAGTAAGCAAGTTTTGGAGAGGAGACTGATGTACGGGGATTCACATCTTTTTTCCCCCAGAGCATTACAATACTTTATTACTGTGTAAGCAGTAACGAAAAAGTAAAAACTAGGGAGGATAAAACGGCACACACACTTGCATTATAGGAAATGGTAATGTAAAAAGATAAGTTTTAATTTCTGCCATACTAAAAACTCAAATTGAAAGTGTCCAATTCAAACGAATCGCTTGAGGTGCACTTCTAGATTTATTTCAATCGCAAGGAACAATATGTGGTAGTCATTTGTAACTTTTACAAATGAAGCAAAAGTCAATAAATTTAACTGTTACATTATTTGCAACACATCATAGAGAAAAAGAAAACAAAAAATTACATGGGCTTGTCTTGATTACATCAAAGTGAGTTAACTTCTGAATTCCATAATCAGCATTTAAAACTTCTAAAATAAAATAAATGTTTAACATTGCTGTGTTAAATATATTACCCTTCTTAAATCTATTTCCTTTCTTAAAAATGTTATCTATATCATAGATCATCACGACTGGCGACAATGAGAGACATTCGGATGTAATTTGAAACAGCTGAAATGCGATTTTGGGAACCGAGAGCTCATCAAACAAAGCGCAGGAAATTCAAATTTACCATGTGGATTTTCCCAATTTTCTAAAATATAGAGAATTTGCAGAAAATGGGATAAGTACCACTTCCTTTATTCTTTGCTATATACGTGAAACATTTTAATAAGACAATTGGCATACAATTTGAAAATTGTCTTTATTTGAAGCAAATTTGTGGAAAAAATAATAATTTTCGAAAAATTAGACATAACCTTCTCTGAAGATGTTTCTGATGAACACGTTTCATTAAGGAAAACATTTTTATCTTTATAATTGTGGTTGTAGAAAGACACTGAATTTTTTTAAAAAATGTTTGCGGTTATTGAAATATTAGAGATTTTAACGAAAATGAGATCTGCACCACTTTCTAAAGCATCTTTTATCATATCCGACCACAAAATTTAATTAATAAAACCATTTTGTTGAAAATTTTTAAATGTCCCACTGGCTACATGTAAAGTACCCTCAAATTAAAATAACTGTTTCAAATTCAGGGGGATGCGACTTCAGCCACATCGGGCGGGGAATATCAATATTTGTGAAAATTCTGCTAACAGTTTCAGCCGCAAGCGTGGTTCACATAGATGGGCGTTTTAATAGATATCAATGACCCACAAAACGTGTATTCTAACTAAACGTGTTGGAGGAACTAATGTACTAAAAGTAGAATCAAGATTATATCCAATTTTTCGTTACCAGGTGCCGATAATAATAGTATTTTTGCCAAAAATTAGCTGTTTCTTTCCCGCAGCTTTACAAAACTTTCTCTATATCGCGTAAGCTTTGTGAAAAGGTAAAAAATATGAGAAAATTTTGATAAATGTCACGGGGACTTCAACTGATGTACCCCCAAAAATTAGAAGCCACGTATAAATTCGCAGAATCTCGATCGGGGATTATTTATTTTTGAAGAATTTCTGTGCAAGGTATAAGCACTAATACTGTTTACAGACAGCTATTTTTGAAAAGAAGAAGGGAAAAAAAACTTTTTCGATAACATCCTAAAAGGGGATTTCCGTTGAAATCTCGATTTAAAAATTTTGCAAAATTTAGATTCAAAAAATAGATAACTTACCTTTCTTCAATAAATCTTCTATTTCTTTTTTGGATAGTTGTTTATTATTATGATCTTTTCCTTGTGCAGTATTCATACTTTGCAACAAAGCTTTATCTAAACCAAGTTTCAAGGAGGCTTTGTCAAACATCTCCCTCTCGTATGTGTTGCGGCAAAGCAAGCGGTACACCTTCACCATCTTCTGCTGGCCGATGCGGTGGCATCGCGCTTGAGCCTAGAACGCACAACACAATAACGTCACCACGTCACACGTTCCAACTCACTTTGTATGGTGCATACAACATTTTGATGCAGAGTACGATTTAATTACTAATAATAATATTATTAGAGATATAACAGCACATAGATTCTCGCATTATTTGCTATCAATATATGAAACAATATACATGAACATGAAAGTTTTCATTGATGTGTACAGTGGATAGGAATGGAAGGCGGATAAGTATGTATGTAAGAATTAAGTTCATGACCACTGGAAACTTTTGTGGTAGTGAAATACAAGATTCACAATTTCGGCGGGTTATATAAATTTTGTACATCTTGGAACTGTTCTTCAAGTTCGGTGGATTTCTTCAAGGATTAAATTATCATGAAGGGGATTTTCTGAAGGATGCGGGGTAAAGGTTGCCGCAAAAATAAATTCACCTAGCACTTTTACCAGTAGGTGTAGTTGCTATGGATGTTGTGGTCATTACAGAGGGTATATTTGTTGGTTTGCAAGAGTAAGAGATGGGAAGTGATATACTACACAGTATGATCGGTTGGTTTTGGAAGTGAAGGTACAGGGCGTTAAATATAGCCAAAAGATTAGTTACTATTTCAGTGAGTAGGTTAAGGAACGATTTTAAGAAGCGAGAATGTTGCTTTTGACGGTAATTTCGTATCTTTTGTGATACAACGGTTCTGTAAGATTGGTGTAATAGGAGGTAGTGGGTTGCGCGAATGTACAGGGGGTGCTGTTAAGTCTCAAGTATCGAGAATGGTGTGGGAGAGTGAATCAATGGCTCTGTCAATTTCTGGAAAGTTTTTACAGAAATTGGTGGTAGGAAGCAAAAAATCAGGGTCTGAAAATGAGGCCAGATAACGTTTTGCAGGTAGTAGGGCTGGACAGGGCGATTTTCTTTCATAGATGTATTCAGGGAGAAAACAAGGGGACAATGGTCTGAAGGGAGAGCGATGGGTAGATCTACGATAATATTGTGGCTAATATTGCTGGAAATACCGAAGTCAAATATGTCTGCTTGCATTGCAGATTGGTAAGAATAATATAAGGGAGAATCAGGAGCATGCACGGTTAGATTTTAATCATTCATTATCTGCAAGAAGGATGCCAGCAGGCGAATTCAGTCTTCCACCCCTATTCATTAAAAAGACCCGTTACAGGGTGTTAAAAGTCCCCTTAAAATCAAATTAATCCTTTATTTCATTTCCAAGCATCTTAACATATCTCAAGATTACCACCTTACTTCCAAAAATACTAATCATTTTAAAGAAAAATGTTATAAGATGTTAAACACATACCATAACCAGGATATTATTAACTCAAATAAAAACTAGAGATGCTACAGAATGGCACAGGCTCTCTTGTATTTGTTTTCTATTTTCTTTCATCTGGGTTAGCTATTCAAACTTGACACATACTCTTATTAGCTGCATGTATTAACACCCAAGGCATTACATTTTTGATATTTTTGAAAAAACAAAAGAATAGAGCAATACGGCACTTATGTCATCTCAAGGAGTACATTTATCCCTATCCCTACCAAAAGTTTAAAGAAAAAAATTGGAGCTGTTTACAAGAAAATCTTGTTTTTGTTGTTTTTTTTAAATTGCACATATTGCACGCAATATTGCAAGAGAAGTACTACAAATTTCAAAAATTGAATGTACATGACCTTAATGAAACAACTAATTACGGGCAACAAATTTAGTTTGAAGGAAAAACTTTTATCTTCAATTTTGTAAAATTAATACTTTTGAAATTTCCGAAAATTCACAGCTAACCGTGAAAATCTGACCTATGCCACATTTATAATCTCAAAGTTTTGACTTGAGACGGGCAGAGGTTTCTCCAATTTGGAAAAGAATCCTATGCATGGTTTTGGCACTAGTAGTGTTCACAGACACATGGACATACAGATGTTTTGCCATCAATTGATTTTTTGGTATCAAGGACCTACAAGATTGGGATTCTGCCTACACCACATTTTAGAAGATTTCCCCCTTACTTTAGCAACTGGATTTATTCCGTTTTTCTTTATCAGGGCCCATAATGATATTTTCCTGGCGAAAATCCGCCGTTATTTTCCGCAGCAATACATAACTTTCTCTATAATATATGTATTACTTACTATACAAGAACATAAGAACAAAAGCAACATTAACTAGTGTCGCAATAACAAAAAATACTGTCTCCAATTTCTAAATTTGCAATTTTCGAGAACTTCAAGTTCAACGAAAATGAAACCTGCATCATTTTTTAAGCGATCTTTGTTCTATACGTGAAAAAAATTCAGTTTTTTTTAAGACATGCTTTTTTATATATTGTCTAAATTTCAAGCGATATTAGGCAACTAGCATACCTGTGTGAAAACTCTTGCATGTTAATCCCCCCCCTTTCCTTACCCTTTCCATTAACAAGGAAAGTTGTTAATGATATATGTTCATTTCTTAAAAAAATGTAGTAATGTAACTGTAGATGTACTTAAAGAATATCAAACAAAAATAAAAACAATGCACTTGATGTTGAAAACCAATTTTTAATAAATGTTTATTCAGTAATAGAGAGATGTTCTTTGAACAATTCACAAATTTGGTTGCCTTTTTAAATTAATTCACATAGTCTTGTAGGCTACTACATTTTGATTTTGATTGTATATGTATTTCAAGATATTTTACTTCAGTTAATATAAAGTTTGTTCATTGTGTTGTGCCATAGCATACGTTTTTCCCTACTACATCCTCATACCCATGCGAGAACTCTCGTATCTTAAACCCCACACTCTTCCCTATCCTTCTATTTCCATTTTAAGAGGGAAAGTTGTTAACAAAATATCTTAATTTGTTTAAAAATGTAGAAAAGTGAAATTCCGCCGCACTGACAATATCAAAAATAATTAGTGGTGCAACAGAATGGCACAGACTTTCTCGTATTCGTTTTATATTTCCTTCAGTCTCGGCTAGCTATACGAACTTGCCACATATTCTAGCCAGCTACTATTTGTCGCCATCCAGAGTAAATTTTGTTGAAATTTTCTTAATTTTTCGTTTTCTAATAATAGAATAGATATATTATTTTAAGAATGTTAACGAACAGTAAAATCTCATCCTAAATTGCAATTTTCTTTGAAAAATTTGGGTCCATTTTTAAGAAAACGGTGCTTAAGTACTACTGTAAATTCAATATTTAAATCTTTTTTTCACAGAAAATTTTTGAGTTTTCGAAAAACGTTATTCGACTAATTTAAATCATATTAACTTACAAATACAATTGTTTACAAAAATTGCTGAAATTTGCTTATTAACGTTGTGTGAGATCTTTGAAATAAATTACATTTGTGTAATTTTTGAAAACACAACTAAATATCCTGAAATTAACTTTATTCCATATTGAAGCGTGCAAATAGCACTATCCCATCGAAAAGTTCGAAGAAAAAATTTGGAGCCACCTTTTCAAAAACTGAATTTTGAGCTAGATTTCACAGAAAACTTGAATTTTCAAGAAATTTTATGACATTATTTAAAGCACATATACGCATGAATAAACGTGAACAAATTGCCACTCACACAAACATTAACATGAGTAAAGAGTCCAAAAAATTTCGTTTTTTGTAAGTTTTGAAAAAGAATAGAGCAATATGGCATTTATGCCACCTCATAGAGTACATTTAATTCTATCCCTAGCAAACGTTTAAATAAAAAAAATTTAAGCAGCATTTGAGAAAAATCGTGTTTTAATAATTTTTTTAAATTGCATATATTGCTCGCACTATTTCACAATAACAATCAAAATTCTCAAAAACAATGTACACGACCTTAATGAAAGACCTAATCATGTACAACAAATTTCATTTGACCAAACAAACAGTACCTTCAATTTTGTAGTTGTCAGACAACGCCACTTCGACGAACTTATGCCACCTTTATAAGTATATTTTACAATATTCTTGCAGGAAATTTAAAGAAAAAATTTGGGGCCGTTTTTGAGAAAATTTTGAAAATGCCCAAAGCGGTTCAGATAAAGTACTCCCAAATTTTAAAGAATGTTTTTCAAAATCTCAAAGCTTCAACTCAAGCCTAATGGACAGGGGTTTCTTCAATTTGGAAAAAATCCTAAGCATGGTTTAGGCACTAGTAGTGTTCACAGAGAGACTTTTTGAAAAGAAACACTTTTTCAGTATCAGGGAATCCCAAAAGATGTATTTTCCTTGAAATCTCGAAATCGATTTTGCACAGAATTACATAACTTTTCCTATACTTTGTGTATTATTCCGTATATACAAACGTACACAGGAAAGTAAAAATCAATGTAATTAATGTTCGAACGTAATTTTCAATAATGTTCAATATTATTGTAACATTCTTGGAATAATTGACAACACTCCCTTAAAAATATCTGAAGTAATCATTCAAATTCTTCGACAGTTAGCTTTTCGTTTTTTGTAATAGTTAACAAAAGCATTAAAAAAGATTTTTACTCTTGAGAAAGCTACATAACTGAACACGCCGACTTAAAAGTTCACCAAATTACTACTTATAAGGAAAATAGTGGTACAGGTAAAACAAATCAAAACTAACAAGGCAACTCTTCAGTGTACACCCACATCCCTCCAGAATTAGGTAAACAGCACTTGTACGCATCAGCAAATCGTTAAAAGAATGATTTCACAACATGGAGAAGAAACAATCGTCAGTAATTCTAGTGATTGCTACGATAGCAAATCTTGAATTTATAATTATGCAAATAAAACTCGTCAGTCTGTGCAAAGTATGGTCTACAGAGAAAGCGTAAGTAGTATAACCAGTCTATCATGTTAGATAGTCATAAAAGATTTTAAGCCTTCTAGGTGTGATGTCACAAACATGGTCAAAATCACCAAGGTCCACCAATCTAGATGGCATTGATAATATCGATAAGTACAGAATCAGCAAAAATTCAATAGAATGTCCAAGAATGTTTCATTCTGAAGATTATGGTGTGAGAAATGTTTCAAGGCCTTCATCCTACAAATTTTAGTTTTTAAGGTCCAATAACACTTTGTTTAGGAGTTGTTTAACAATATGACTGAGTACTGCTGGTTGCATTCGACATGAATATATAGCTGCTTTTTTTAAAACAAATTCTTCAAATATACGTAAAGTTGCAGAGCAATTCGTCACATCTTGAAATTCTTCTCTCGTTAGAGATCTCTTGTAAAGATTGGTTGCGAGTGAGGGCCGCAAAAGGTACATATACTACTGAAACAATATAGGAGACTAGGCCGAATTCATAGATGTCTCTTACACTGAGTGTTACAAATTGTAATCATAAACAACCCTTGAGTGAAGTCTTAAGTGAGCACTCATTCCTATAAGCAAGGCAGCCTGCTCCCTTAAGTGTCCCTTATGGCTCCCTCGCATCATCAGTCGTATCCAGTTTAGGTTATACTTTTACGCGGCGTTCACAGACTATTGAACTCGTTTTGCTGGTGTTTGTATAGTGAAGGCAGTTAAAATCTATCATTTGTGAAACATGTTATGGAAAACGACTTCAATAATTATTTTGAGTTTTATACTCAACACATCCTGCAAAATCGGAGAGATATATTAGAGATACGAGCAACCCATTGAAAATGTACTAGAATGATGATTGGAAATGAAATAGAATGAAGAACAATTCCGAAAGCGGTTTCATTTCAATAAAAGTACTGCAGTGGATACACTTGTGCCGATGATCGACAAAAGTTCCAATGACTGAACGAGGATTGCCGATTTGCCCCTTATTAAAAGTTCTCGTTGCATTAAGATGTTATGCACCTACATCCTTTCACGAATGTTTCCAAAATTTTTAACTTTTCTGATTTATAAGACCTATTATAAGTAATTATGAATTTCGCAATATGAATTTAAATTGTTGTAAAATGGAATTTATGTTAATGCTATAAGGGGTTGACATTTTCAATTACATGAAATGTTAATAATCCATTACCGATATTGGCAGACTTATGTTCATACCATGTTACCATACCACCACTTTATGTTTATTAGTTATACTAGTGCATAAATTAACGTTAAGGAATCAATTGAAACTGATGTTAAGTATTATATTACAATCCAATAATGCACATAAATAATGTGTAGAAAATGCACAAGACATTGCAGATGTTCATGGATTATATTTTTTACCAAACATTTCTTATTATTAAGGATTTGTAATAAATACATTTTTAAAATATTAACATGATACCGGTGTCAAATAGTCATTGAAATTATACGATAATCATAGATTATATTGTTACAAATCTGCTTGTTATTAATGATTGGAAGTTATCTAGTAAAATGTACCAATATTAATAATCTTGTTTTATCTGTATGAGAACATATTAGAGGTAGTAGAAGTATTTTGTGTGGGCGCGACATCAACTCTATGTTGGAGTGTCCGCCCCCTATTAAATTGGACACTCTTTGTACGAGATAAAGTGCGTATGTAAACTCGGTTGCCAAGGACTTCGAAACAACGGCCGCCTATGACATATTGCCACATTTTCCTTCTGCTTAAGGGAACACTCATTCCACGGTCCTAAGGAACGTCTATGAAATATGAGCGCCTATAAGTGAACACTTATTTTGACAAAGCACTTATCACTTAAGGGTTCGCTTATCCTATAAGTGACGACCATGAATTCGGCTCTATGTTATACTTGTTTATTGTTTGTTTGTTTCCCCCCTCCTACAAAAATAGATTGTACATGATTGTTTTTATAGACTTTACATTTTGAAACATTTTTTACCACAAAAATCCCTGTCTTCAATTTTGTAATTTTTAAATGTTAAAATTTTGTAATTTTGAAAATGCAGAGAACTCTTTGGAAATATGACTTAACACCACTTTTTTACCGTCCTTAGACAAAGAGCAGGGAAAAAATGAAGTTGGAGCAGTTCTTTTTTTAAATGTTTAATAAATGTAAATATTAATAATCAATATTATTAAATCATCTCAGGTTGCAGTGCACTAGCCCCAACAGACAACAAAACGAGACACGATCTAGATCATCCATGCCAAGATCACTAAGAAATACAGTCTCCTGCAAATAAAGACTGATACTACCAATATCATTCAGAAACAGTGCTTGAAAGCAAGTTGCACTGCGACCGCAGTATTCTGACAGATAGAACAATCCAGCATAAGACCTAATGTTCCGCTCTGGGATAAACCTGCCAGCAATGTTTGGTTAATGATTTTGCAGTTGTCAATACAAGCAACATGGTGACAACATATCAAGAAGTAATAATAGTAACAACAACAACAACAACAACAACAACAACAACAACAAGAACATGAAGAAGAACATGAAGAAGAAGAAGAAGAAGAAGATGAAGAAGAAGAAGAAGAAGAAGAAGAAGAAGAAGAAGAACAAGAAGAAGAAGAAGAACAAGAACAAGAAGAAGAAGAAGAACAAGAAGAAGAAGAACATGAAGAAGAAGAAGAACATGAAGAAGAAGAAGAAGAAGAAGAACATGAAGAAGAAGAAGAACATGAAGAAGAAGAAGAACATGAAGAAGAAGAAGAAGAAGAACAAGAACAAGAAGAAGAAGAAGAACAAGAACAAGAACAAGAAGAAGAACAAGAACAAGAACAAGAAGAAGAACAAGAACAAGAACAAGAAGAAGAAGAAGAACAAGAAGAAGAACAAGAAGAAGAAGAAGAACAAGAAGAAGAAGAAGAAGAAGAACAAGAAGAAGAAGAACAACAACAACAACAACAAAAATGATAATGAAAAGACAGGTGCGAGTCTAAATGACACGTGTTGGTTGCCACCACCCAAGAAGCACTACTCAGAGGAGGACACTGCCGCAACGATTGGGAGGGGGGAATCGTAAAGTTTACAACCCACCATGCTAAGCAGACAAGAGCCATCAGATAGTATTTTGCTGGGAAAGTGAATACGTAATTCCATAAGGTGGTCGTACAGGCAGATGTCAACTATACTCCCCTAAATCTAAAACAACAAAATATATCAATCCAACAGTAATCTTTTCAACAAGAAATGGATTCCTGGAAACAGAAAGTCCTCCATGGCACACCCTACTTGCCAATCCAAATGTCGATGGAGAAATGTACAAAAGGCTCAGCATAGGATATCTGTACCCTGAGAGTGAAGGCCTTTTGGTGGCAATCCAAGTTCAGGATGTCCCAACGAAGAACTATCTTAAATACATAATTAAACACGGTTCCCCAATGTTCCGCTCTTGTCCTATCAGCAACCGGAGAGGTAACAAAACTTCTTAGCAAATCATTAGACGATCTATGAACAAGACTATTATCATCGCTCTTCAAAAATCAGTCATTATCAGTACATGTTCACTTGTCAGGAAGTTTATGGGAGGACATAAGGGATTCTGAAGCTTTTAAATTTAGCTATTATATTGTAATTATAATTCTGGTATTGTATCTGTGTGGTAGCTGTATAAATCCATTAATTTGTGTGAAAATGGATCCACAACAATAATAATAATAATAATAATAATAATAATAATAATAATAATAATAATAATAATAATAATAATATCACGAAGTTGGTATTTGAGTTATGAAATACAGGTATATCAGGGAAGCATATGCTTCTTATCAAAAATTTGCCATGCAATATGTTTTTGGTTATTACGTATCTTTCCTAAAACAACATATTTCGTCACATTTTAATTTATTTATACTTCGAAAAGGAATATTTCAGGTGAAAGTTTGCTATATATCTTATTGGAATAAACTTTCTTACAAAACAATGTAATGCTACTGTGCTTCTATGACCACTAGACCTTTGCTATAAATTGTCAAACTTACCTCCCTCCCCTTCTTGGAATCAAGGATGAGAACAAGTTTCTGAAGTAGTCTCACCCCTATGATTCCTTTCGATTTATAGAGTCCAAGCGTAACTCTTATCAAAAACTAACAATTTTTTTTTTTTTGAGATTGTTGTCTTACTATGTTGTTGAATTTTAGGGAGGTAGATGTTAAAATCTAAAAACCAAAGGGTTTGCAGAGGTGGGGTGGGAGCTGGATACTTGGACGTACCTAGTATGCATATGGCAATACTGAATGCAAATCTGTTCAACTTTTTGAAAGATCAAAATTAATATTTAATGTGTACTCAATTAAAAAAAAAATACTTCTCAATAAAAACCAATTAAATCTAAAAACACCCTATGGGTCAGGCTTTATTAGATCTTTTTTTTTTTCAATGGCCTTTAAATTACTTTCCTGACCCAAGAACAACCTCTCTTAAATTACATTAAATGATTGGAATGCTCATACCTGTAGATCATTTTGTGGATTCCAATCACTGTCATAGATAATTACAGTATCAGCAGCTGTTAAGTTGATACCCAAACCACCAGCTTTCGTACATAATAAGAAAACAAATCTGTCAGAATCCGGCTTGCTGAATCTATCAATGGCAGCTTGTCGAAGGTTTCCACGAATTCTCCCATCAATACGCTCAAATGGATATCTGTAACAGAGATATATACATGTTACTTCAATGGATATTATATTCACAATTACTATGTACACCAAGAATTCAATGAACTTCCGTAAGAGTTAATGAAAAGGCAGATTCTGAGTGATCTGCTGCCACTTTACATTTCCACTAAAAATGTTCACATTATAGGAGAAGGGAGATATAGAATAGAATCACTATGAATTGTGATGACTATGAATTGTGGGTTGACCGTTGTGATACTACAACAAACCAGGAAATTTCCTAACACTACTCTTAGGGCCCCTTCTCACCTGCCTTCCGAACGCCGTGGCTCGTAACCGAGCATTAGTTTGAATGGAGTCATCCCCACGTGCGGAGGTTTGCGCCGCTGCGGCGTTCGGTGCCGGGCGCTCGCTACGCGAAGCGGAGGAGGTCGAACGCGCCACTGGTAGCAGAACATAGCTTCAAATAATGGTATTCCCAATGCGCCACCGATCTCGGCGTTTTAGCGGCTGCGGTCCCTTTGTTCGTCGCCGCCGGAGGGTTGGCAAAACTTACTGCTGCAGAACCCAGCCCATCCCCCCCCCCCTGCCACCCGTAAATTTAGCAACTGGATTTATCCACTTTTTCATTACCAGAGCCTGGTAATAAGAGTTTTCTGCCGAAAATTTTCCGTTTTGTCGACCAACATTACATAACTTTCTCTTCTTAACCCTCGCACTTTATCCCCAATTTAAAATCAAGTACTATATCTGGGGTCCTTTTGGACTCCAAGCTTTACTGACAATTTGGAAATGGTAAACACAAACGTGCACGGCAATATACTGAGTGTAAATAATTGTTTTTATATAATTGTACATTTTAAAGTGATTTTCATTAACATAATAAATTTAACAAATTAATGATGATGGGGTCTAAAATGACCCCAGATATGGTATGAGGGATAAGAAATTCCTTCTTAAACATGAGAAATTTGGAACAATTTGAAAATTTACTACCAAAATATTAGAGGATTGGGAACTAAAATTAGAGAGATTGAAAAATTTAGCTATATAGTAGATAATTACATAATTGTGTTTACCGGGACATGAATGGTACCAGAGATTTTGAGCTCTAAATTTAATTTGAAAGATTTTATAATTTATGGAAATGATGGAAATTGTATTATTAGTATGTTTAGTAGAGGTGGTGATGTTCTCATTGGAGTAAATAGCATGTATCACAGTGTGTTGATAGAAGTTTCCAATCATGTAGAACTTGTTTATTTGCGTATCAAAGATATTGATGTTATAGTTTTACTATTAGACTCATCTATTTGTTGAGTTCTATGTTAATTTCTGAACAAACAAATTCGTCGCAATACCGCGGCAGTGAGTAAACCATACAATTTGTGTTGTGTGTGGTGAGGTACCTTTGAAGAGCATAAGGCAGAGTATTACACACTTAACAAGAAATGCATATAACTTGTATGTTGGGGGTCAAATCAGTTTTTAGGACAAATCATAACAGGCCCCTCACTTTTGCTGTGTGCCTTATGCAACATTACTGGCTTCACAGAAATTCGCGACATATGCCATTTGCAATTTCCATGGCATGGAGGAACCAAAAGACCAACCCCATCGGCTGTTATTTCAGCATTAGACAATTAGAGTTCATATTCCAAAATCCCTGGCGATAAAGATATAAACGTAAGTACTGTAAAGAATGGCATTGAAGACTCAATTTTCAATGGAATATCTACACAATGTGATACAACACAATCAGTCGAAACAAAAAGTTTGAATCAGGCAGAATTGTTGGCCTTTCTACTTAATGGTTGGAACCTCCTTTAGAAGGGAATTACTTTGTATAGCCGATGGGAACAATATATTCAATTCCTATTCTCAGAAGAAGGCAATCTTAAGTATTGTACTCATGTTGGTGCATTACTGAGAACAATACTGCTTTGGGAGACAACCATGATCCTAAGAAATTAAAGTTGTTCATAGATTCCTCCAATCCCAGTTCAAAAGTCCGACTTATTGCTACTCGAAATGAGAAACAAGCTATTCCTCTTGCATATGCAGCCCAGATGAAAGATATGTATGGTATTATGAAACTTTTGTTAATGAAGATACAATACTAGCTATATTCATGGAATGTATACAGCAATTTGAACGTTTGTAGACATTTGTTAGGTCTACAAGGATATTCTAAATTTTGCAGTTTTCTATGCGAATGAGAGCGAAGACTACAAAAATAACTTTTTGAAGAAACACAGGTCTCAACTGGTTCTCTAACATCTGATTCTCAGACAAAATGTAACTTTGCAACCGCTACAGTGCGTAAAAGGTTGCATAGACGTCACTTCTAAAGTTCTAACAGAATTCCTTGGTAATAGAAAAGCTCAGATCTATGAAGAAATAGTGTCGGAACTCCTTCACAATTATAAAGCTCTGGGATGTAGCATAATACTTAATATCACAATTGGACTTCTTTCCTGAAAATCTTGTTGTTGTGAGTGACAAACACAAATGATTCAAACAAGACATTCCAATGAAAAAATGTAAAAGGGAAAATGGAATCAAAATATGCTTGCAGACTTTTGCTGGGTACTAAACAAAGGGATTTTTCATTCAAAATTACATTTTGATTAAGATTATTATTTGTAAATAAAGTAAAGAAAACCAATAACTGAACAACAGTGTGTACTTTTTAATTGCCCATTACAAATAAATGCTCCACACATTTTCCATGAAAAACAGCCATTCTATTCTATTTAAATAAATAAATAAATTTTGTCAACCAGTGTAATTGATTCATTCTCCTTATAAGAAACATAATTCTCCTACACACACACACACACACTATCCTGTCACACTCAGTTTTGTTGACGGCAGATTGTAAAAGCAATGCTGTGAGAGATTTTGCTATTTTTAACAGCAACCTAAGTACATTAATCACATCCAATCCGAAAAATATTTGGCGCTACATTAAATATAAAAGGGATAGTAGAGGTTTACCAAGTATTGTGATTCTTCTACGTTCAATTGCGTCAATTCTACTGTAAAAGGTTTTGCTGAATACTTTTCGTCTTTTTGTAATCATCAATTGAACTCGAATTTTAATTGTGACAACTTTGATGTGCAGAATCTGAGAGAATTTCAGATTAAAAATGAGATATCTTATATTTTACGCCAGATTGAACTCTTAAACCCAAAGACTAGTACTGGTCCAGAAGGCATTTCATCCATTTTCTTCATAAATTGTAAATTTATCATTTCACAGATTTTGAAAGTTATATTCGACTTATGTTTAGTTGAGGGAGCATTTCCCAATGAGTGGAAATCATCTTTTATCTTAACTTTTTATAAGTCAGGCAACAAACACCACATAACTAACTACAGACCATATCAATTTTCAGTGTGATACCGAAGCTCTTCAAATCTTCGATTGTTGATAAGATTGCCAAATTGATTTATCCACTTTTGTCTGACAGACAGTTTGGCTTCATGCCAGACAGAAATATTGAGTTTAATTTTGTATATTATTTATCTACATTCTCAAAGAAGTGGGACGTAATTGTCGGACCGACTGTCTGTAAACTGATTTTAGTAAGGCTTTCATCCCGTTAACCATCTCATTCTGTTGCACCAGAACGCATGGGGAGATGTGGACCACATAAGTTGGTTCAGCAGTTAATATTTTGCCAATCGCATGCATTTGGTCTCATATGGTGGTTTTATCTCTGGCCCCTATTGCAGCTTGGTCAGGCGTTCCCCAAGGTTCTCATTTGGGTCCCCTATTGTTTAATATCTTTCCTAATGACATTTGTGAGATGATCAATGATGTTGAATACCTGCTCTTTGCAGATGATCTTAAGCTTTTCTTGAGAATGCAGTCAATCGAAGACAGGGTTCTTTTGCAGCGAGCATTGAATGCTCTGTCTGATCACTGCGTAACAAATGACCTTCTCAATGTCAAGAAATGTAAGTCGATAACTTTTACCACAGCTAGATCAGTAAAGGCTTTTTTATTACAAACTTAACTCCATTGAGTTAACGTCACATCCATGAGAGATTTGGGCGTGATATTTGATTCTGGTATGACATTTATTGAACATATCCAGTGGACTGTAAATAAATCTAATCAGATCTTGGATTTTATGAGGTGAACCCAGTATGAATTTGATTCAATTATGACATTAATTAATTATGCTCTTTCTTGTGTTAAACCAATTTTGATATTCTCCTCTGTTGTATGGTCCATCTTTCTTGGCAACCATATATCGAGTATAGAGATAGTGCAACATAAATTTGTAAGAATTGCAACTTGATGCATGGGGGTACAGGATCCTTTCATGTGCCACAGTTATGCACACATTGCATCAAGCCTCAACATACCTTCTCTTAAATCCTAATGGTCTCTGATCAGCTCTTTTTTGCACAAGTTGATTAGATTCTTTCTGACATACTTCTCTGTAAGTCACATTTGAATTCAAGAAATAATACCTTCAACTTAAAATTTTATAGGTCATATACAGTGAACACCCCTGTAAATCACATGTGCAAGCTGTCAAATATCTTATCAATCGTGTTTCATGATAATACTGTGTCTTTTTCGAGGGATGAGAAGAGTAGAATATTTGAATTTTTATAATTTTATATCTGTTGGGTAGACATTTGTTATTGTGAATATTTGTTTACTAATTATTTACTTTCTTTTTATATTTATATAGTCCTTTGATTCAGAGTTACTTGAACATACTTTTTGTATTTTATTTCTAATTTTTGTACATTAATGAGCAAATTGCCCGTATATTGTATTGCAAAATAAATAATTGAAAATAATCTTATGTGTACTTCCTTGTTGAAGAGATTATAATTTGTTTTTATGCAAATCATATGAATGTTAGGTGTTGTGACTGGTTTCTTAGGTAGTGTTCCCAAGTATCAACATTTTAACCCAGAAAGTTCTTGTATGTTGTAATGTTATATCTTGATATCACAGGTTCATACTGTATCCTCATTGGGGATTTTCAAAAAGTTGAAAAATGGTTAAGTGAGTGTTGTAATGCACAAGTAATATTTTGTTTCGTCATAGTCTTCTAGAAATGAGGGTTGGTAGCCCAAGATTGGTCAATCGCAGTTTGTAGGTGAAACTTTTGTGATCTTTGTGTGTAGTATAGCCCTTCTTTGAACGTTCCCTAGTTCTTACTGTCTTTATGGAATACAAATATTAGTGCAAAATTCTATGATCAGGAGAATATAGGACTTTTAAAGTGAAGCATGACATCACCTTTTATTGTACTGAAAACTTCGGTGTGTACACATAATTTTATTTGCGTTTTTGAAGACATAATGAGATGATTTGACTATTTCAGATCATTTAAAATCATGACAACCAGGTCATTTATAACCATGGATTCTGCTACATTTTCTCCACTTATGTAATAGTTCTGTATGAAATTAAATTTGTTATCTTTTAGATTTATATTTTTCCAACCCTTTGGTTATCTATGCTACTTGAACAAGGCCTGGGAATATTCATCACCATGGACACTAGTTTAAAATGAAAAGGATATACCTGCACCTTAAGATACAAATCATTATATTCTATGTTAGTTTACAACTTACTTGTGTAATAAACACAAAGCAATAGGATTAGAGTGCAAATGTTGTAATTGCAGGTCGTTTCGGTTTTGTACAGACATCTTTTATTACTACCCATTACTTAAAATACCCCACAAAAGTAGTACGAGTCCTGCAAGAATTCAAATCGGACAAGTCAATCAGAATCGAATTATGCAAAATAATTTTTTCATTTTTATCTTCTGAGAAGTGGTGATTGTTGCTGTTCTTTGGAGACCTCATACAATACTGCTTATAACTATACATGTCACTTTATTTTACTTCTTTTCACTGCATTATATCGTTCTTTCCTTTCGCCAAGGTTCCAACTTGTGTAGAATGCAGATTTTGTGATGTGTTCAGTTGTTTCACTGCATAATTTCTACATTTCAATATCCTGATTTTCTAGGATTTCATTGTTTTTCGAGAAATTAGACACACAGGTTTTTCGTGAATTCAAAATTGGGTATTTGAAATAAATATTTTTAAAAAAGCTACAAATTTGTAAAAATTACCCCTCACCCAATTATTTGTTTAAACTGACAATTAACATATAAAAAAAATTTAGGTTATTTGGCAAATGATGTATATTTCAAAATAACAAAAAACTTTTGTCATCCCTCATTTCTCAATTTCAGGGACACATTGAAGTGAAACAATGTGTTACACAATATTCTGCAATTCATTGGTGTGTAGCCATGATAGAAGCTTCAAAAAATGTACAATACATCAATATTTATTAAGCGAACATGAGACAATAAATTTTTCTGAGTCTTACTTGCGATAAACCAGGTAGTCCTCCAAAATATCCAAACATCGCACCATTTGACTGAATATTAACACACGATGGCCCCCAGCTTTAAGTTTTGGTAACAACTTATCAATAAGAACCATTTTACCAGAAGAATGAATAAGGGCCTGGTAATATCCATCAGGATCATCAGCTCCAATCTGTTTTGTTTGCCGATAATCCATCTGAATTTGCTCCTCAGCACCTGAAACGTAAAATATTGCTTTTGAACCCTCTGGAAAAGGTGACTGACAGGATTTATGGAGAGAGAGGGTACAAAGAAGGTATATCAATCATACCACCCAGTAAGAATATGTAAAAAGCAGAAAATCAAAGATCAAAATTATAGATATACAAATGAAGGGGGTTTTCTTTAACTAGAATTACCTGAAGTAAAGCACTCTTCATTTAGGGCCGGTTTCACCAAACAAAGAGTAAGAGTGTACTCTGGAGTAAATCATGTTTACTCGAGAGTAACTTCTTGGAGCGTTTCACTAACACTTTACTCGAGTGTAAATCACTTACGAGAGTAAATTCGAGAGTAACTTTACACCGCGAAAATCCGTCTGGTAAAGTACAGAGGAAATTCAGTTTTCAACGTGCATGTACCCCCAAAGTGTTGTTACAGTTCGACGATTACAAATGATAGTATTCGAAGACGATTCCAGCAATGATTCAGAATATTATCCACTAGTGCGAAGACAAAGGGTGCGAGAGAGAATGGATTGGTTTTAATTATGACGATTGAGATTTTCGCCATGAGGTTATGTTTGACCAAATCAGCTGTTTAACTTCATCAGACACACTGTAAACTGTAGAGAAATTCTAAAGTTCTTTTTGTCCCCATGTGGATACCAAATAAAGGTAGTACGTACCGAATACGACAACCAAAGAAAAAGTAATAACTACAGGAACTACAAGTACTAAATATTCATTTATTTATTCAGTAAAAACTGTATGTGACATATGGGGGAGATCTTTTGCGCACGTTTTCTTGAGTTCCAGAATCCCTTTCCAACATTTTAACTACAAATAGTTTAAAGATGAATAAAAGTTTAAAAAATAAAACATATAATAATAAAATTTAGAAAAACACGAGATCAGCAACATTTGAAAAACTAAACATTTTCGTTCCCTAGTTATAGAAAATTCATTTGCACTGCCATCGGTAAACGAACTGCAAATTAGATTTTTCTGCATTGCTAACAAAATAGTAACTCCTCTCCAAAGAAGAATGAATAATAAGAAATTAAGATACAGAAACTAGGAAATAAACTATGCTAACTCAAACCACCATAACACCACACCAGATTATAACGCCAAGAACTTCGAAACTGAAATGAATGATATAATATAAGGAATTAGTCAAAGGTTCACGTTGGTCCGCATTGGTTCCCAGTGTCATTTTCGCTCACAGCCTCTTGAATCGCCCTCAAATATTGTGTGTTCAGCTGATTTGCGAAGTAAATCGGAAGGTATGTACTCTAGAGTAAAATAACCCTCTAGAAGCGTGGTGAAACACTCATATTCTACTCGAGAGTTACTATCTTGGAGTAATTGGTTACTCTCGGGTAACTACTCTCAACTTTACTCAGGTGTTGGTGAAACCGGCCTTTAGTCCTGCACAAAAATGAACTGATCATTAATGGAGTAAATGAAATAAGCAATTATTTGATTTGGCAGAAACTCATTGACCAGGTTATCAATATGACATATTTGAGAATAACAAGAAAATATTTTCTTAATTCCCGAGAGTGTTACTCAATACAATTATAAAAATTCTTTTGTAATATTATACATACAAGCTAATAATACACGATTTGTCTTCAAGTCACAAAACTATTTAACCAACCAAAATCATCCACTTTCATCATAAACAATTGTGCATACATTCATGTGCACATCCTATCACGTCCATATTCATCACATTCCCTTCATACAGCGCCATAGCTAGGGGCTGGCCAAGTGGGCAGCTGCCATTGGCACAACCCTGAGTTGGGGCACTTTGCACACCCATAGCCTTTGGGCTACTTGGGCATGGGCACACTAAATTAAATATTATAATACATGGACCAATCAATGATATAAAGAACGTAGTTACATCCTTTGACAATCTATACTGTAACAATTCCAAAACAAAATTAAAATGTGAAGCTACCTCCCATTAAAAAACTTGATTACGATAGGCACCCACAAAGATCGGTAACAGTGCCCTTCAGTTAAAACACAATCTGCAGCGAACCCTAAAATACGGATTTGAAAGAAACAATTAATATCTATACGAAAATAAAAAATACAAAGCTGATTTAAACATAAACCAGTTGTTTAGAGATTGAAAGCTGCAAATGTCAAATAGAATCATTATTGCCCTATTTTAAAAATGCAGATTACATTGCACTTTTTAATTACCATGAAGAATATGTGTCAGTTATCTCAATGTAGACATTACACTTAGCCTAACATTGACAATATTTCTGACTTCAGCCATCCGCGAAAGATCTTTCAGTAAAATGAAATTAATAAAAAAAATTTACAATCGCAGATTGGTCTAAAACATTTGAGTATCACCCTATACTGTTGATTGAGTATGACACTGCAAAAAGTATTAATGTAGATCATATTATTGACCAATTGGCATAAGAAAAAGCCAAGAAAATTAATGTTTAAGAGATAATGTATCCTAAATGAATGAACTCCTGTGGTACTGTTTCTTTTCCTAAATAATAGTAAAAACTAATTTTATGAGTAAATGTGTACATAAGTTAAATATATATTAAATTTTTGAAGTTATTGTGTTATTTCTCTTCCTAGAAAATAAGTATTGAGGGTGCAAAAATCAAATCTTGCCAGAGGCACGCATGATCCTAACTACAACTCTGCCTACATACAAACAATTAATTGCTATTTCCACAAACTTGGAACATATAGAAGCAATTACCATTTAATAAGTATGGATGGATACAGCATTTACGCAGTTCCATCATAGTATTCATTAAATTAGGAACATTTGCAGAGGTTGTTCCTTTTGCAAGGAAAGAGAAGTTTCTTTCCAAAATGCCTCGGTAATACTTTTTCTGAATATTTGTAAGCTCCACCTGAAAAAAAAAAATGCATTATGAACAACAAGAATTATTAACATGATATAAAACTGGAATTCTCCACTATATTGTCCAGTTACAGTGCTTACTTCAACAACAGTCTCTTCTTTTGGAGCAATAGATTTTTCAACATCCTCTTTTAGTCGGCGAAGCATCATTGGTTTAAGTAACAACTGAAGTTTCTGCACTTCCGTTTCACTGCGCAAGGCACCAAACTCTTGGAGGAATGCTTCACTATTTGAAAATTGGGCAGGTTCCAAAAAGTTGAGCAGAGAAAATAATTCATTCACATTGTTTTGTAGCGGTGTTCCTGATAGCAACACTCTATGTTCCTGCACAAACACATTGACAGAAAGAATATTAGATTGGTTAAAGAGTTATATAAATGTTTAAAAAAATCTGTTATCATTAATTCATTTTACATTATCTTTGCAGTGAGGCAGAGAAAGGAATATAATTTGTACACTTCAATTTAGAAACGCAAAATAAAACTTTCGATGCTAAAATGTACACTGTTTAGCATCACATCTAGTAATGCAAGAATATAAATCACAAATGATAATGGTGAGTGAGTGTATGTGCGTGCATTTTTATTTGTGGGATCAAAATGAAACCTAGAGCTGTAGTTAGTCAAGCCTCGGGACAAGGTTTAGATATGCATTTATCTACTGAAAATACACAATATATGTATGTAATTATGTAGTAAAAATATCCGATATAGGCACACAAAACAGCAAAAAGTACATTAAACCATCATTAAACTTTTTCAACTTTTTCATGCCCAGACATAACCATGAGTTTACCCTTACTCTACCGCTGAATGAAATTTTGAACTGAGTTAGTTGATTTCCAAAATCATCCAACTGTTTACTCTAAAACAAATTTAACAATTAACATTAGAAATATGCTTGAGAACATTTCCAAGAATCCAACAGCCAACTTCATATCACAAAACAGGACACTCCTTTATCCTCTGTATTCTATTTTCTTCACATTTGCAAGAGTACCCCTTCCCTATGCATTGTGGGAGGTTCCCCAAAACAGTACCATCAATTTTTGTAAAAACTCAACTACTTGTAATACATGAAAATATCATGATAATCTCAAATATCATGCATACTTTAGATAGAGGCATTTGGAATTATCTACAATGACCCTGTATATAAAAATCATTTTAGTATTAAACATTAAATTTAATAACAAATTTTGTATAAAAATATGAGTAAATATGAACAGTTTCCAGCAAAATATGCCGATTAATTAGCAATTTGTAAAAATATAATGCTTATGAAGAAAACAGGTACATGGCATGGTATACAAAATATAATCTTGTTGAAATAGTTGTAAATTGAGCATTTCAACCATACCAGCATACTTTTTAATGAGGAAAAATGTATTGCATTTAATTCTGGTTCATACCTATGTGTTATGTGGGGGGTAGAAAAAAAGAATTTTGGGAAACTACGTTTTGAATGGCCTTTAATATAGATAAAATATTAATATTCTACTTATTAAAAACAAAATGTGTGCTAGCAATTGATTATGTGCAACTACTACACGCTACAAGTATAAAATATTTTTAAACAATTTTCCTAGTGTCTGGCATATTATACAAAGCATGTCTTAAGCAGATACTAACCAGATTCAATAAACGCAGACCTTCCAGCAACTTGCAATTTCTATTTTTTAGACGATGTGCTTCATCAATAACACAAAGGCGCCAATTGAATTCCTTCAATTCCATGCAGTCAGCAATTACAATTTCAAATGTTGTAATTAACACGTTGAATTTCGGTGTATCCTTAATAGGTTGACCTTTATCATTTCGATAATACATTTCATACTCTTGCACCATGTTGCGACTAGCAGTTCTGAAACAAAAATATTGTATAGAATGTATTTCTGAAATAGTTATTTTTTTTTTGTCTCTTCCCACACAATGCAGCAAATAAATGTTATTATTCGAACTCTTAGACATTTAGTTCATGATAACACTTTCCCCGTTCCAATTGTAACAACCACAGAACCCCCCATCCTCCACAGAACTTCACAACCAATGTGCCTCCCTCGGAAAATGCTGTAACCAGATTCCCGGGCGGCCCATCACTAGAGCCAGAGTCATTCACCCCATGAGCTACCACAAAAGGCATGGAGGAGGTTCATTGATGACGCACATCAGCTTTTCAGTTCATGTATGTGTTTATTTATTATTATTTTATTTTATTAATTTATTAATGGTGGCAGCAACAAGCTGTTGTACACATATCATTACATCAGTGTAAAATAAAGTTATATAAAAAAAGGTTTCGGTCAAGTAAAGCTCTTGTTGAATGTGAGGAAAAGGAAACTTGCAGACTACTTAATTAAGTAAGAGAGTTTTGAATTTTCTTTCAAAAAACAGCACTTTTTTAAAATGCTACACACTTCACATAGATAAAGAATATTTAATCGCGTGATTTTAACTTCACTTTCACTATGCTTGATTTGAAAGCTTTTAAATGTTTTAACCTCCCAACTGGACTTGCATAATATTAACTTAGGACTAAATCTCAGGATTTAATAAATCCATAATCATGCTTAAGCAGTGACCTCTTAGGAAAACATTGATCTTTTATTTAGTTCCTCCATATGCACGTTGAAAAATTTAACACAGAAAAATGTGGCTTGAGTATAACAATAAAGAACACAATGTATTTAGGGTTCACCTATAAAAACCAGGGAGGAGTACAGCTGGTTTTTCTGATTGGTAGTTTTCCATAGTTTCTCCAATCAATACCAAGCAAATGCCAGAGCAGTGTCTTAACAAACAGGCCACAAACTGCACACAATCTACCTTCCTAAACCTTAACCCTCCTTCTTCCCTAACACATTCAAACACATGCAATATCCATCACACAGGTCAGGTGTTTACAAGCTTGTCCCAGCAGTGGTGGTGCCCCATTGGAGAAACCTGGAGGGGGAATCTCCATGAGCCAATGAGTAGCATAGTGATTTTACCGTTTGTACATGAAGTATAAACAAAGTCCAAAGTGTGTCTATGCTCTCCCTTGTGCAGGGTATCCTACTGGGAGATGGAGGACCTGGTCCCTCAGGGGCAGTGGTGGCTCATGCTTAGGTTGCACAAACCCCGATAATCAAAAAAGATTTTATAATATCTTATCTTCGATTTCACACAGTGAGGATGGCATTGTCTAGCGCTGTATGTCAACCGATAGTCTCAGAAGAATCCCAATATTTTGTCTTCGTCTCGGTGCAACGCAATTTTATGAATTTCATTCGTTATTAAAAGTATACAAGTTCTGTCAATATTTGCCAGTATTAATTCATAATTTACGCCTATTTGGCGAAATTAGTTTTATTCGATGAAAGGTGTGATTAAAAACGTTTATTTGAAGTGTGCAGTTTGTTTTGTGGAAAGTTGGAAGAAATCCCCTTTCTCTCCCTCCTCTTATGGACGCGAAATTCTTCCGCCGAAACGACCAGGACACGACAGTCATTTCCCGGTCATTTCGGGAGCTTCGTTGTGTGTAGCGAGTACAAAAAGTGTGCTTGGTGCTGGATATTTTATTATTTAAGTGTTGTGTTTATTGTTGCTGAGAGTAAAAGATGTACATAAGAGTGACAGTTTTCTGAACGAGTGTTTTATTTTGCTGAACGTGAATACAGTGAAAATTTTACTAAAACTTCCTTTCAGTTCACGCCCTATTAAGGAAAAATTAGAAAGGAAAAGACTCTGAAGGCCTACTCCAAGTCTTTATTCTAACGGTAAAAAAAAAAAAAAAAAAAAAATTAAAAAAAAAATAAAAAAAAATTAAAATTAAAAATAAAATTAAAAAAAATTTAAAAAATCAAAAATTTAGAAAATATTTTTATAAGAAACACAGGTTGTTATAAGGGTGTGTTTCACAGACAGCTGTTTTGCTTTCCTTATATATTGTTTGGAGATCAAGATATGTGAACAAAAACTGGGTTTAAAGATTTAATCCACTTAATAGATCGATTGAAAAAACGTAATTTCTAGAACTCACGTAGAAAACAGTTTACCGTTACCGTTATTAATAACTACCATATAGCAGAACTGTAGTGGGTGGGCAAATTATTATGATTATAATTATGAATATTAATGAAAAAATACTTCTTTAATTGTTGCGTCTGAATTGACGCGACGCGTCCCCAAGCTCCGGAGCGTTGAACGCTTTGCGCTTGGGAGTAATCCTCCGTTAACATTATCTGTCATTAAATTTCACGTCTCGTCGCAGTCAAATGTCAAGAGGACCGCCACGAAGCATTTTCGCGTACGCGCTCCTGCGTCACTACGCAACGGCCAGAATTGGGAAGGAATTAGGATAGGGGGTAGGATTTAGGACCCTTCACAAGGGTTGCACTAACCTTTGTGAAGCAGCCAAACTCGTTTTGTCGGAACAAATTTCACATGAGATTGTAATCGAACCCGGGCCTCCCAGGTGAAAGACGAGCGACTTTGCTCTGAGTCAGCGGAGAACTGTCTTTCAACAGTATTTATTGATGATCACATTCTAACTTCAACATGCAGTACAGTAATATGCAATTATCATAGATTATTTGACATCTGAAATAAGCAAGGTAATGATTATAATCACAGGTCACAGTGAGCTTTTCAATATTTTGTGATGCCACACGTTTCAATTTGATCATTTCCATGGTCCTTTTAGAAATGCTCGACACTTTTTTGCAGTCTCCTTGACTTTTACATTATTGTTCCAAATATTTCGAAGCCTTTTTTAAGTGAGCCTTGTTGGTGACCTATATCTTTGCAATTTCTTATTTTAACATATCCCAAGTGTTTTCGATAGGGTTAACGTCATGAGAATCACCACGGCAAAACTTGTACTCCTCCATCAACCAGGAACTGGAGGATACTTCTAGCCTTAAGATAGAGGGCACTCTCACGCATGAAATTGTAGTTTTTATCGTTAGGAAACAATTCCTTTTTAAGTTCTTACTGGTCCTGACGCATGGTATATTTCACAAAATACAACCTCCCAGTGTCTTTACCGCTGATTACTGACCAAACGTAACTTGTGTGGGGTGTTTTATAATCTGAACAATCCAGTCAGGATGAAATTTATCTCCAGGTTGTCTTTTAACAAAAGTGGATTTCTCTACCAAAATCTCGAATGTTAATTCATCTGAAAAACATACCTGACAAAAAGGAAAGGATCTTTCATAAATTTATTTCAATTTTCTATTAATGCTTTGAATACATCATGACACTAAAATAGATATGTTAATACCTTATTACAATCATCAATGATCATATGGTGATGGTCTTTAGCCCACTAAAGACTTAGATATCGTTGAGAGTGACTTCTTGGCTAGCTTAATTAATTTCTTCTTCTACAAGCCATCGACGGTCAGTTCTTTCCGAAATAAAAATGTCAGAATCTTGAACAATCTTCGTAATAACTACTACACTTCTTTCTATCCTTCAAAGATGTATTCATCATTTCGTGTTGTAATTAGCTTTTTTCACATATGAGCAGTAGTTGATGGCTCTCCAATTTCGACTTTTTTCTTAACATTATTTACAGAGGCCTGAGATTTGAAATATTTGTCACTGAGAATAGCAAGAGTGTTGTTTTGATTTCAGAATTTGTTCTTTGGTAAAATGTTTGCTGTCTTTTCCATTTCATGTTTGGAGATTAAGAGTAAAAATGTCTTTCAGTCTTTATGTGTGTTGTTAATATGTAATGAAAATGTGCAGCGAATACATTAAAATAGCACTATTTACAAAACTCAATCACTTCATTCAAATTTACTTACAACGTTTACATGAAATCTATAAAACACAAATATGAAACAGCTGCTAAACAATTTGTTCTTAAATAATGATAAAACACATTCGTAAATAATGATAAACCATTGCTTTACAGGTGTACCAATAATCCAAACTAGGCACCAGATGACAAAACAGTTATAGGAACTCATCATAATGATCTTGCTGTAGTATAATAAATGGCACACATAAAAATAATGTCAAGAATAGAAAAAAATTATGTGATCATAATAATTTGGCCACCCACTGTAGATAGTGAAGACAGGAGAAATGTTGCAATTCACAATGAATAAGAGAAACAAAATAGACATGTATTGATCACAATAATTAATTGTATTAGTATCTGTGGTGCTTTTGAATTAGCTGCAAGGGGGCCACAATGAAACTAAAATATCCACAAAGGAGTGTTTAGCGGATTAATTGATTTCAGTGCACAAGTCGACGTCCCATATTGAAATAATTATTTTGGGACCTTTAGAAAAGAGAAATTGAGCCCACTGTCCAAGCAGTCTTCTCCGCTTGGAACAAAATATGGCAAAACTTAGGAATGGCAATGAAGTAATCTTTAAACACCAACACTCATCACAATCTTCATGTGAAAAAAAAAGGGGAGAGAAAGAGAGGGAGAAAAAATATCTATCGAGTCACATATACAATTACAATAGGGTATGACTAGTCAAGAAGATGTCTTGGGTGGAGAGAGCGAAGTTACATTACTGTTTAGAAGCGAAACAAGGGGCCATCTCAGCATTTGCCCAAGGGAGCAGGGAAACTGAACCAAAACCTAATCGAGATGGGGGTCATTGGCCTAGGAATTCTACTACAATGCTTGCTACAGATAGATTAGGATATTATACAGAAGATAATTACTTTTAGTAGCAGATTAGTAACATTTCCAGATGTTATTGCCATTTTACTGCTACAACTTATAATATTAAAACAACACATAATATCAATTCTGTTAGCAACTTCATAAAATTTAACAATATAAGTATAGAAATTTTACTATATTACAATTTTACATTAGTACAGACAAAGCAATTTTTGGTCAGGTTT